CAGATTACCCCTGGAGGTTCAAGGGCGCCAGCTTCAACGACAACATCGTCAAGTGGCTGTACTTCCCAGACTTCATCGTGCGGCCCAACCCCGTGTTCCTCGTCTGTAAGTGCGTGTCCTGGGAGGTCTTTGGTCACAGGTGCAGTGCGGGTGGAGAGGACAGAGAAGGCCGGACGTCTGCGTCCTGGGCTTGTAAAGAGAGGAAGAGGAGCGAGACTGTTCAACGGCCCCTCCAGGCCTGGGGAGGGTACCTGCCCGCAGACGTTGTCGGGGGGCAGGTCGCAGAAGACCCATCTCAGCCCCTGATGCCTTCACTCTCTGACGGGTGGACGGGGTCTTGGGACGGCCCCCCAAGCCCTGGGCATCTGCGGCCCCTCCTGCACCCCCGCGTGGGCGGCGGGAGCGGGGCCCTGCCTACAGCCCTCCTGATGCCCAGAGGGCGGGGAGGGGCTCATCGCCCACCGCTGTCTCGCCAGACGACTTCCTGCTGCTCCTGTGCGCCTCCCTGCAGCGGCAGACCTTTGAGGATGAGAACAAGGCCGCCGTGCGCGTCATGGCGGGGGACAACGTGGAGATCTGCGTGAGCCTGGACGCCGCCGCCTTCAGCCAGCACAACCCTGTCCCGGACTTCGTCCACTGCAGGTAGCCCTGACCCGCCCCATTCTCTCCCAGTACACACACAGGAAACTGAGCGGCCCCGGGGCAGGACGGCTCAGCCGTCTGGAAGCCGACTTCCGGATCAGCCTCCGTCCTCCCTGGACACCCCTCGGCCGCTCCGGAGAGCAGCCAGCTGCCCCTTCACCCCAGGACAGACACAGGGTCACTCCCTGCCCCGGGTCCCCGAGGCTCCTCCCCGAAGCGTGCTGGCTTGGTGTCTCCCTGTCATTCTCTCAAGCTCGGCTTGCTGACTTCTGAACCCAAGGCAGTCGGGCCGGAGGAGCGGAGGCCTGGGGCTCCTGGAGGTGGGATGAGCAGCTGCAGGCAAGGAGGGGAAACGCATGGAAACACACAGCGCACTCACACACACGCGCGTGCACACAAACACACTCTCGCTCAAATACGCTCTCGCCCAGTTTCACGCCGCACGCCGGGGGGTGGGAGTCCTGGGGCGGTCAGGTACCGCGCCTGCGCCACGCCCCTCGCTCCACCTGTGCGGTGCTGGGATGCCAAGACGCAGCGTCTTAGTCGCTCTCCTTCATGTGCAGATGAGTATGGTGTATTTCATGAGAAAACTCATGCAAACATGTTAAAATGTTGAGTATTTTACTTTAAAAACAGTGAAGCTCCAAAGTCCGCTTGCCTGATAGCGGGCCTCTGAGGTACGACTGATTCCCCAGCGAAGCTGGACAGCGTGGCACGTGTCTGGTGGAAGGATTCCGTATTAAGTCCCACAAAATGCCAAGTCATGTTTCAAATACCTGGCCTGTTACTGGTTCTTCAGCATTTCTCCTCAAACCAGGAAAGAGAAAGAACCAAAGCGAAACCTCTGCGTTTGCTCTGATTAAGCGAATGCAGGGGGGGCGCAGCCCGGAAGCATGGCTTCTGTCAGCCAGTGTCCCAGGCCCGGGACCCCCAGCAGCTGTTTCTGCTGCAGCAGGTCACAGACCCTTGTGGTGGCCTCACCTCCCATCAGGAGGTCGCAGTGGAGGCCCGGCCCCCACCACAGGGCCCTCGACTGGCCCCGGGAGGTGCGGAGGGAGTGTTAGTCAGAGCCTGGAGCTGTGTGTCTGCTGTCGGGGTGACTTCTCATCTGAAGGAGAGCTGGTCATCCCAGGTGGAACCTGCTTGTTGTCATCTGCTCACTCCCAGTTCATGGGCAGGAATCCATTCTCCGTCGCCCTCTTGCTCTGGGAGGTGTCTGTGTCATGGAATTTCCTCGGCCGCATGAGTCTTTGTGGCTCCTTAGGAAGAAAGAGAGGGCCTCTGAGTACTCGGTGGTAGGCAGAAAAGCTGGCTGCCTGTGGGAGGTTAGGCCTAAATTCGATGATATTAAACACATGCATGGTGTTTTCCCGTGACCTCCCCGTCTGTCCCTGCCGGGGCGAGGTCTCCCGTAGACCAGGCGGCGTGTGGTGAGGGGTGAACGCAGGGCTCACAGCTTCCAGGTGGAGGCGACTGGACCGCGCAGCCCTGCTCCCTTCCCGGGTGAGACGCCCCGGCAGGCCCTGTGTGGTGGTGCGTGGGGCCGCCCCTCCACAGCCCGGTGTTGCTTCCAGGTCGTACCTGGATATGTCCAAGGTGGTCGTCTTCAGCTACCTGTTCTGGCTCGTGCTCACCGTCGTCTTCATCACCGGCACCACTAGGATCAGCGTCTTCTGCATGGGCTACCTGCTGGCCTGCTTCTACTTCCTGCTCTTCGGGGGCGACCTGCTGCTGAGGCCCATCAGGGTGATCCTGCGCTACTGGGACTGGCTGATCGCGTACAACGTCTTCGTGATCACCATGAAGAACATCCTGTCAGTAAGTGGCTCCCCTGGGGAACCCACGCGCGGTCCGGTGTGAGTCCGGAGATCCGTTCTGTGGTTGTTAAAAGCCCAGGGTGCATCGCGCTGCTCTCTTAAAAGCCCTAGATGAGATGCTCGCAGTTCAAACGACCATTTACTTTTCTTTGCCTTGCCATATTAAGTGGAATCCTTTGGGCTCATTTCCGTCCTCTCAAGGTCACACGACCAGAGGATACGTATTCGTAGGCATAAACTCTAGAATGTATTTTTTAATATAAAATTCCATCCCGCTCCGAGGAACGATTTGTCGTTCCTCCTGCCATGTGCGACAATGTGGCCCTTTTGTGAGTTGAATCAGTCGTGGAATTGCTTCAAAAATTATATCTATCAGGTTGGCTAAAAGCAACTCTCTTACCTGGAAAGAGCTGTGGAATGGAGTGTGGACCGCTCTGTGACTCTGGGCTGGGATGAGGAGGAACAGGAGAGCGAGGCAGGAATGTCATGAACCCATGAGACGTGGGAGATGCTGAGGAGGCGGCAGCTTCACAGCTCCTCTTGGCCTCTGAGTGTCAGGACAGAAACCAGCCAGAACAGCGGAGGGTTGAGGCAGACCCCTCCCCTCTGCAAAGTGTGGCTGCTGCGACGTTAAACAGCCACGCTCCAGGGCACCACATGGCCCCTGACCTGGTAGACAAACTGCCCACAAGTCATCCCAAAGTCCCATGAAATCTCTCAGGCCACAAAGATACCTTTTCAGCTCCTTACTGTATGAGGAGATGAACAGCCTTCCCTGAGCTGAAGGAATCACACAGCCCGAGCTCCCCTTGACCCAGCGCCTGCCGCCCGCAGGCTGTAGCTGTCGGTACATTAGATGAGCAGGTGCGTTAGAGGAGCAGGTGCGTTAGAGGAGCAGCGAGCCGCGGCTTCCTGCTTCTCCCCTTCCTGGGACTGAGAGATGAGCTCACCTGGCAATTCCACTGGAAAGCACTTAACTGTTTTTTTTTTTTTTTTGGCACGTGCGTTGCTGTGTTCAGAGGTCTTGGGACACCAAATCTGTATGTAACCACTAGTATGTTATTTGAAGGATTTATTTTGTCTACAGTCCGTTAACATGTTAAGTTTCTAGTTGGTAGTAAAAAGTGATTTTTTGCATTAGTTCTACCCCACTACCATTTGTTTGCACGTAGGGGTGTCCTGAGAGTTGGAGGAGGAGACAGGACATGGGATCGCCCTTCATTCTAAAGCCAGTCCGCTGGGGAGCGATCTGTGGCTGGAGACTGATCCCCACAACTGTTCCTCAAAAGCGTGTGGCTACAAAGCTCACTCTCTCACTCACTGATTCGCTCGCTCACTCACTCATTCGTAAGCCTGTGTTGCAGATCTGTGCTCTGCTGGGCACTGTTTTGTATCTTGAAGAACTGGAGTTGAGCAGTACTCAGGTTTTACCCTTGAGGAACTCACATTCCAAAGGAGAAAACAGACTTCCTTATAAATAATTTTAGTACAATCTGTTAAAGCTAATTATCACAACATTTCAGGAAAACAGCACGAAGCCAAACTCCTATTACCTTCCATAGATAAGCTGGAAAGAGGCTTCCTGGAGGCGATGCCTTTTGAATCCATCAGAAACTTGAAAGACAGATTCAGTGATGTCCAGGGAGACAAGGCAGGGAGGATGTTCCCTGAGGAGGAGGCTGTTTTCCCCACCTTGGGATGTGGACTTGACCATGACCGGAAATCACTGACGCGAGACGACGACATGCCGGTCGGCAGAGACCTCCACTCAGAGCACTGGCTGGACAAGAGCCAGCCCGGGGCACACGCTGTCTGCCTGTTCCGGGAACTAACGCGTGTGGTTATCTCCTGGCAAGCCCTGCAGGCTTGCTGTGTCTGACTCGTGGGAAATAATAGAGTGAAAAATACAGATACCCGTGCCAGAAGCCCAGTCCTGGGGTCTTCGCCCCTCCGCCGGCCATGCATCACAGAGCCGGGCTCGTTCCTGTGATGCTCTAAGAGTCCCCCTTTGGAAGGAGAGGTGCTTCCAGGTGCCCACAGCCTCACGCCGAGGGCTCGCCCTTTACTCGCTGGGTTTGACGCCCCCAAGAAATGACGTATCAGGTGCCCTGCCCCGCGGGGGCTGAACCAGGCAGCTCTTACCCCTTGTGAGCACTGAGACTCGGAGTCCCTGCACGTGCTGGGATCGCAGGGCAGCAGCCTCCTTCTCTGGCGCAGGGCTTCAGAGTGTGCCTCTCCCGTTTGCTTTTCAGATAGGCGCTTGCGGCTATATTGAGAAATTGGTTCAGAATAGCTGCTGGTTCATCCAAGCCTTCAGCCTGGCCTGCACAGTCAAGGGCTACCACATGCGTGAGTACGAGAAGCGAGTTTGGGGACGGGAGACAGAGAAGGCAGGGCAGCTGGTCCTTCGAATGTAAACACCGGCTCAAAGCGCAACTCCCAGTTCCGTCCACTGTCTAAGGCCGCTGTAGGCTGGTGCTGCACTGGGAGCCTGTTGTCCGTCCGTGGCAGGACGCGCCCCCTCCGGGCACTGGCCATCTTTACAGACTTCCGGTCCCCCTCCTCCCGCAGCAGGTTTGGGGGTCGTGTGCGGCCTGTGGCTACTACTTGAACTTCCCTGAGTTACAGTAGGAAGGGTCACAGTGCCCGTGAGTCCCCATGGTTGTGTTCCTGGCCATCAAAGTAGCTCCGCTCCAGACCCTCCTCCCTGCCGGGAGCTCAGAGACCCTCCAGCTCGGGGGGAGGACGGTTGGGAGGAACAGCAGAGTTTCTGGAGCTAGACTCCCCACCTCGCCCACCCCAGGACAGAGAAGGGAGCCCCATTTCCTCCCCTCTGCCTCCTGCGCCAGGACCCTGGACAGCGCCACACGGGTGGGCCGCTTGAACTTGGCGCTCTCCCAGCGCTGCCTTCCTGTGAAGAGTTGCTGGAATCTGCTTTGACTTGGGGTCAGATGTGCTGTTGCCCCCTTTCCCAGTAGAGCGTAGCTGCCCTGCCCGGGGTGCAGCCCCTCCCCACAACGGAAGTGTCTTTTGGACCAGAGATTTCCTCAGGCCTTGGGACGTAGGCACTACTTCTCCGTAGCCTTCCTCGTTGAGGGGATGAGGGTCCCTTTCTCCCAAAGAGAGAGGAGTACTCAGGTGCCCTCCTGGGACAGCAGCCTCCTGCACCGTACGTCTCCAAGAGCTCACTTCGCGGTCAGCCTTCTGAATCGGCACTGGGCTTGGATTTGGAATGTGAGCCCTTGATGGTCAATAAATCCACTCACAAGGGAGTCGATGTGCCCTAGGGTGACTCTTAGGCCTGTGTGACCTCCCAAGTCTGACGTGCTGCAGACTTTATAAAATCGCAAAGAAATGGATGCTCACTTAAATTTTTTTTCCTTTGCTCCAGCGGACGATGACTCCTCGTGCAAACTGCCCAGCGGGGAAGCAGGGATCATCTGGGACAGCATATGCTTTGCCTTCCTCCTGCTGCAGAGAAGAGTCTTCATGAGCTACTATTTCCTGCACGTCGTGGCGGACATAAAAGCCTCTCAGATCCTGGCATCAAGGTGGGTCAGGCTGTGGGGTCAGCTGTTCAGTCTGGAAGGGATGCTGTGCCATGCCTGGGGTCTGAGCTTGCTTGTAGAACCACGGGAAATTGAGAAATGCCTTCCAAGGAAGCTGACCCAGGAGGCTCTAGCCCAAGGCCTCCAGGGTCTAAAATAGAAGAAAAGTAAGTCAGTCTCGGGAGTGGAGTTGTGCCCAACGGGGGCTGGACACCCTGGAAAGTCAGGGACTGGCTGGTGCCCTGCGCCCCTTCAGTCTAGCTCGCCCCCAGGGCAGCTCCTTCTGGCCTCTGTCAGAACAGGGACCTGGGCCACGGTGGTCTGGAGGCTGGTCCATCTTCCCCCTCCTTGCCTCCACGTTAAGGAGAAACTCCTGGAAAGAGAGAAACACGCCGTCTAGTACTTTCAGGTGGTAGACGGAGGAGAGTGTTGCTCCAGCCTCTTCCCGTCGGCCCGTCCTCCGGTCTCTGCCCAACAACCTGCCTTTTCTGTTCTCCAGGTCACGGGCACCATTTGATTATCACCTTCTCCTTAGATTCTGCGCTTTTTCCATTTTCTGCCCCTAATCTGAGAGGGTTGGGGGAAGGACCGGGAAGAGAGCTAGGGATCAGAGAGGGTGTCGCTGAGATGGGGCAGAGGCAGCACGGGGTCCTGGAGAGCGTGCCCGGCTCAGACCCGGGCCTTGGCTGGGCCCCGTCGGACGGTGGTGCCCCGCAGCCTGGTGGACACTGGTCTGCATCGTGTGAGCTGCCCGTGTCTGTCACTCTGATTTGCGGCCTAAACTAAAGCGTCTCTGTTTCACCGTCAGTGTTCCTAGGGCCCAGGCCTTCTCCTGCCAGGGTAAGCAGAATGTTAGTTTCAGAGGTGCATTTCAAGGGGGAAGACGCCCAGCCCTTGTTACCGACTTGGAGCCAAACAAAAGAGACCCAGCTGTGTAATCTGAGGACCTTGCTGCCCTCAGTCCTCACGATGTGCTCTGACTTCCTTGAGGGCCGGTACTGGCCCAGGAATTTACCGGTAGAGCTGTTTTTCTGGTGCCCGGGACATCATTTTGGAAGCTCTCGAGCCGCTAGTCACCGTGTCTACCTGCATGTGGCAGCAGCCGGTACTTCTGCTGGTAAATGCCTTTCCCTAAAATTCGGTCCTAGACCACCAGGATATAATAGTGAGCCAGGGTCTTTCTCTCAGAGTTCTCACAAATACTCAGAAAACATATTCCTCGTGTTGTAGAAGCGGGAGGCTTTGGTCCAGAGTACAGCTCATGCTTGTCAGAGAAAAGCCGTGACTTCGTAAGCACTGAACTCACAGCAGCATTTCCCAAGGGTAGACATCATTCACCCATGTATGTTCACTGCCTCCTCTGTTATCGGGGGAGGGGGTACTGCCCTCCCTCACAGAGCCTGCACAGGGGCGCTGTGCCCAGGATTCCGGCTCTAGCCGGTGGTGGTGCCGACCCCAGAGGGAGGGGGGTCTGTGAGCTCTCGCCGGGAGGGAGGACGGGCCACGACTGCGGGGTCCTGGGTCTCGTGAGCTTGTGACGTCAGCCCGCTGGAAGCCAGCGGGCAGCGGAGTGGATGGATCTGGAGATGTGGACAGACTTGAGTGTCATGTGACATGGACGGTGTTGGGGCAGGGCAGTGGCCGCAGCTGCCTGGGGGGAGTGTGAAGGTGAGAAGAGGACCCTGGGGCTTCACATGTAAGAGCTGGGCTGAGGGCAGGGCCGCGGAGAAGGTGGGAACTGAGCTGGAAAGGAGAGCGGGAACCCGGAAAGCGTGGGACCCGGGGGGTGCTCTTCACAGCGGATGGACGTTCAGGAGACAAGATACTCAAAGACAAGACTGAACCCTGAGCACTGAAATCAGTGGCCTCGACAGGTGGGGTCAGAGCCAAATACCAGTGAGTGGAGGCGGAAGGGAAAGGCTGGTGGACGGTGCCTGCAAGGAGTCCGGCTGCAGGGCCAGTGACGTGACGCTGTGCCTGGGAAACCGTGGGGCATGCGTGGTTCTTTCTCCAAGATTAGCAAGATTGGAGCCTGTCGGCATGCTTACGGGCAGGATTCAGTCATGGTGGGAAGGTCGAGGTGCAGGGAGGGATAAAGGACAGGCGGGGGGCGGGGTCCCTCAGGCAGGCCGTGGACAGCGGAGTGTCACCTCCTCCATGTCACTGTCACCTCAGGAAAGGGCATCACCCCGTGACTGTGTTCTTTTTGGGAAGTGGGAAGCTGCGTCATGTCCAGGCGTGAAAAGCCCTCAACAGAATATTCTAGATTTGAGGAAAGTGTAAGCAGTCTGAAGTAGCCACTTGAGAACAGCAGGAGAGTGTCCGGGGAGTGTGGGTGGGGGCTCGGGACCATCCTCCCAGAGCCCTGAACTTCTGTGCCCCTGACACCAGCCCTCACCACCCAGCACGGGGCCGGCACCCCACTGGTTTCCTGCAGACTTGGGGTCTGCCAAGCAGAGGGGACAGGATGGCACTGGGGCAGAGTTGAGGATGGTGAGGGGCCGATGTGCTCCATTGGGACCTGACATTGACCGAACAGGAGGAACGAAGGACAGAGGGAAGAGAAGCCCAGAGGCTGGACCGCGCACCCCACTGCGCTTGCCGTGGGGATGCCCCAGCCCCTCCAGCCCTATCCTGCTGATGGAGTGGAAAACGAACCTGAACTCACTCCTAAAAACGTCCCCTCCTGTTATGATGAGGACCGCTTGCTGGGGGACAGGCTTGGAGAGCCCTTGAAAGTCTCCGAAAACACACACCGTTTTCCCTTTAATGGCCCCCAGCGGCGTGCGCAGCGCCCTCCCTCCCTCCCCCGGGAGGCTGCAGGCTGTGCCCTGTCCATCCCCTGGGAAGGAGCTTCTAGACTGGGCTGCGTGACGCCCACTCCAGCCCAGAGGCTCCAGCCAGCTGCCCCAGAAGAAATCTTTCCTAACCCTTCGTAACCGTTTTCAGGGAGGGTGGGTAACGATGATAAAAGTGTTCATTTATCTGTGTTTCTGAATTTCCTTTAGAGGGGCTGAACTTTTCCAGGCCACGATCGTAAAGGCTGTCAAGGCAAGAATCGAGGAAGAGAAAAGGTCAATGGACCAGCTGAAGAGGCAGTAAGGACGCTTTCGTGTTATTGTGGGTTTGCCTGGTCCCCTCCCTCCACATCGCAGCTCCCGGGGCGCCCCGCCCCCTGAAGAACCCGTCTGTCCGTGTAACTTTCACTCCTGCCCAGGCGTTTGCCCTGCGAGGGGCAGTGGCTCCTGGCCTGGACTGAAGTGTAACGGTGTAAAGGACAGAGAGGGGGAGGGGAGGGGAGCCGCCGTGGCCGAGACCAGCGTCAGGTCCGAGTTCTCTCTCTGCTCCGGAGCCTGGAGCAGGTCTCTGGAATTCTCTGGATCCCAGTGTCCTGTGTTCAGCTAGGGCTCACGGTTCCATTTGGGTATTTGTAAAGAGTAAATGAGTTAGTGAGCGAGGCAGGGCCTGTCCCAGTGACACTCACTTGGGGGAATGTCTGTTAGCTCTAGGGGCTAAGGGAACAAACGCAGAGTCCTCGCTTTGCGAGGCTCTTTAGAGATAAAATGATCCAGTCTGTTTGGGAAGAAACCGATGACCTCTATTCTGGGTGACTTAAAATCCAAAACTGAAAAAAAAAACAAACCACCACACAATCTGTAACCAGCTAGACGCAGCACTAGAAACGCGCCTGCTGCTTCCCTGTGTCCAGGTGAAGGCCTCCTCGCGCGCCGCCCTGGGCAAGCCAAGAAATGGACTCCACCCCGGAGAGCTGGGAGTTGTTTCTTTCTTTTCTTGTTTAGTTAGCCCACAGAAAACAATTATTTTCCTAGAGTGGACTTTCTAGCAGTGAGTGGAACTTCTGAAGATGGGGAGCACCTCCTGGGTGTAGGGGTGGGTTGAAGAGCTGACGGCCATAGAATTCAAAACTGAGCTGCTTTCTCCAGGAGAACGGAGGCACCGTCAGCCCCCGGGAGCTCCTGAGTTTGCTAAGACAGCTTCCTTCTACCCAGGCTCGTTCCCAGCTCCTTCCCTGTGCAGGAGCATTTGCCAGTGTGCACTGCCCTGCCCCGTGCCTGTCAGCACAGAGCGACGAGCCGCATAAACGTATGTGATGAAAACACAATGCGCTGTAGCTGTTGCTAGTGCTGTTCCCGGCTGCAGAAGTAACAGATACGGACCCGCGTTTAGACTGTTCCTAATTTCCCACAAGCGAGGCCCGTTGCCACAGTTTACTTCACTGGATTTCCCTATTTGTTGGAGAATGCGTCCTCCCCGATGAGAGGTCAGAATAACAAAGAATGAAGGCGATGATCCTTGCAGAAGGCAGGCGGAAAAATGTCGTTGAAGCTGCACACAGCAGAAATGCCACTTAAGTCAGTTGAAAAACTTGAGCGTTATATCCAGAATGTTAAGAAACTAAATTAAGAGTGAAACATCTCAAGGGGGCAGGTCTGGGAGGTCAAGTCCAGCGTTGCGGTTTCTGAGTAAACAAAACCTGCAATAGTGCATTTTTCCAGATCCAGTAAGAGATTCGATTTGACATAGAGAAGTCACAAGACCTGATAAAATACTCTTGAACATCTGAGGAGCAACTTGCTGTTTACAAAACAATTCTCACACACATACATCTTTTCCCTCGATCTTCACAACAGCTTTGTGAGGTAGACAGTTAGTGCAAAACCTGGGAGAATAAAGGATTTACATCTCATAACATGCTGTGTGCAGAATGGCTTGGGTACAAGGTGTAGGTGGACGTAAAATGTTGCACATCCAACCTAAGCATAATCACTATTGATTGCATTATTAAGCTGGTGTCTATGCAGTGCAGAGAACATGGACATAAGGAAGCAGGGGGACACTTGTTGCTAACGAGTAACTGTCCACAAGTCCCAGGCGTTGGCCGCCTTGCCTGCGGTTCTAGCTGCTTGCGTGGAAGCGTGTGGGTGACCGCGGGTGTTCTCGGCTTTCTGCTGCTGTTCTGTTGTGCAGGATGGATCGCATCAAGGCCAGGCAGCAGAAGTACAAAAAGGGTAAGGAGAGGATGCTGAGCTTGACCCAGGAGCCAGGGGACGGCCAGGATGTGCAGAAACTCTCTGAAGAGGACGACGAAAGTATGTGGAGGCTCTTCCTTCTTCCTCGCGTGCTTGGCGTTGAGTCTTAGCGGGGCACTGGGCAGGGCTGTCAGATGGCGTTGCTTTTTGTTCTGCCAATTTTATCAATGTGTCTCTTTAGCTCAGCAAGTTATACGTTCCCCGTGGTGAACGGGATGCATTTATTTCGTGAAGCACATGTTTGATGAATCCATGACTTCACGAGCATCTCGCCTTCAGCAGGATGACTTTAGTCAGCAGACAGCCTGCTTCCGTTTCACAGCCGTGTGCTGCTGAAGACGACGCGCGTGACTTCACTGCGTGTGTGCCTTTAGGGAAGGTGTTTAAGATGGTTGGTTTCTGTGAATGTTACACAGAAAAGAAATACATAGGCATCTGAGTAATAGTAGTTAAAATAACATTCTATTGTGGTCTGTTCCAATGAAACTTAAGATGAAATACGGATTTATTATATCAAATTATAGATTTGTTATATCCAGTTTAGTTTAAAGGTCTTTTTAAAGTTATTTGCATGCTTTCCTACTTGAAGGGGATGGAGAAATAATGTGCAGTATCTCCCCGGTACATGATGTCTGTTCATTGACATTAAATTTATATTTTCCCAGCCATGCATTAAAATAATCACAAGAAAAATCTCCAGTTATTGCAATGTATGCATATTAACCAATTATTTGCCACTAAATTGTTCTGTAATATATGAGTGATGTTTCTTTTCTGTTAGTTCCATGGAAATTTCAAGGTGAGATGCATTTTTGACAGATAAGCCCTCTTTATTGTATTTCTTTACACGCCCTCAGCTACTGAGAAGGAAGTGAAAATGTGGCATAATGTCCTTAGAATCCTTCATACTTACCTCGTGAAACCGACCGCGCTCCGCGGGAACGCTTCAGAGTCCGTGTAGTTTCCTGACCTCTGATGTATTTTCGCAGCTTGTCTAGAGCTTGACAATTTGAGTTGTTAAAAGAGTGGTTTTCAAAGTTTGTTTTCTGACTTTACACGAATTAATATTTGGACGTATTTTATTTTAGGAGAAGCAGACAAACAGAAAACCAAGGGCAAAAAAAAGCAGTGGTGGCGGCCTTGGGTTGACCATGCTTCCAGTAGGTTTCCTTGATCCTCTTACAATTTCGTCAGTTCTAACCCTTATATCCTTGACCAGAATTCAGGCGTCCCCGTGACCTGTGTGTCCCATGCATGGTTTGAGCCTTGTGACTTGATAGGGGGTCAGAGCGTAGGAAAAGTGTGATCCCTGTGGGTGTCTGAGCCCGACAGCGGAGTCTGGTGGAGCCACCAGCGGATCGCCGCGCCAGCTGGAGAAAGCCCCCGGCAGCATCCATGGGCTCAGAGAGGGGAGAGGAGCTGACTTCTCTGTTACCCAGGGCTGAGGTCTAGGGCTCCGTGACATGTGCTTGTACCGTGGCTAAAAACCCAGATGAAAAACGAGCCTCAGCTCCGCCCGGGGCTCTGACATCAGAGCATCACTGTGTTCGAGGTGCCTGTGACCCTCTTTGTGAGGCACTGGGCGTGGTGCCGAGGAGCCTCCCCTCCCCTCGTTCCCAGAGCTTTAGTTTCACTTGCATGTAACGTTTCTTGGCAAGGTGTTAACCTTAAGGATGAGGATGCCTTAAAACGCATTGACTTTCTCATTGCCTCCTCCTCAGTTTCAAGAAAGCTGTAAAACTACACTCCAGATCTGATGCCCCACATGGGGCAGGGCCTCGCAGGCCCCTGCAGCTCAGCCACGACCAGTTCAGAGCAAAGTCCAAAGACAGCTCTGGAAAAGCAGAGCGTGATAGCCACGTGGAAGTCGTGCACCCTCCTCCATCGCAGGAAAAGATGGAGGAGATGCAGAACTCGGGGGTGTCCTTGTTCTGCGTAGCAAAGGAGAGCCCGCTGTCTGTTGCAATGCTGTTGCCATGGGGTGATGCGCTCCAGTCTGGCCTGTCACCCAAGAGATCGTTTTCTAAAATCAGCAAGCCAGTTTCAGGAACTTGCTCATCAAAATTTGCTCAGTATGCCTGGATGTCATCAAGTTCAACCCCAAATGTTGAATTTTAGCATTACGGCATTAAAAAAAATCCATGCCTCAGGAAGAGTTGCATTTCATCCGCTGCTCAAGTCAAAAGATCAGGATGCAGTTGGACATTCTGTCTGGCTCTGATTGCCTCCCACCGGCTTGCTGGCCGGGCCGTGGTCCCCTGGTGCAACACCACATGTCTGCTCCTATCAAGTCACAAGGAAACTGTGCCCATCCTTCTGTTTTTAAAGGGCCCTTTGCCGGTTTAGAGAGACCTGTCTATTGCGAGATGGGGTCATAGTGAATGACTTGTCCGTTCCCTCGGTGTAAATCCCCACCTCAGTCTTGGTGGTTCTCGCCTTTTCTCAGCTGAACGTTGCATCTTGGAAGGAACTGGATATGGTCTTTGATCGTCCCCTTACAAGTTGGTTATCCTTGAAAGAACTTCCCGTGAAGGTTACTGACTATAGATTTCCCGATCATTTCACCCTCATTATGTCAGGTTCTGGAAGCCTGGTAGTGAGCTCCACGTGCCTGGTTACAGCACCTCCCGGTGCAATAATGCAGGGATGTGTGTGATGCATAGTTTGGAATCAGAGTCTCACCGTGGCATTAAATTTTTCCTACAAAACATTATTTTGACAAGCTGGTAAGGAAAGGAGAGGAACTGACCTGTGATTTATTTTGTAGACTGACGAGTTCCAACCCTTGTCTTTAGATCTGGAAGCCCTTGGTTGAAAGCCCTTTTTCTGACCCCTTGTGTCACGGGCTCTGACAGAGGTGTTTCTCAGAGGTGCCGAGCGTAAGAGTGAGTAGTTGGCACCCCCGTGCGTAAGCCTGCTGACGACGCGATGGCGTCGCTGCTCTGTCCCTGTTGCTGGTGAGCACTCGCGATCTGAACGTGGCCTGCAGGTGGCAGGCCCCCCTCTTCCACATCTGTGTGCACACAGACGATCGCATTATTGCTGTTCAATCGTACCTTCCATCACTTCAGTGTCACCTAACTTGGTGCCCCATCACTTCGCTGTCAAATAGCTGAGCTAAAGGGCTGAGTTTCTGGGATGCAGGTGGTGGGATCTGAAGAGCCACGGTCCCGCTCAGCGTCAGTGTCGGCGTCCTGGGGACGGATGCCGGCTGGTCCTTGTAACAAACATGCATGTAAACTTCTCTCCTTGTGATGAGCAGAGGGAACTTCAGAAAATACTCTCCATTCATGTCCTAGTTTCATTTCAGCCGTATTTTGCAAAGGACTAGGAGACCTTATTTTAAACATTTCCTTCTTTTTTTTAATACATTAATTCCGTGTGTCACATACAAATTGGCAGCATTTTTTAAATGACAAAACCAACATATGACTGCTCATGATGAAAACTGCTTGGACTCAGTGTCCACGTGAAAAAAAAGTTAGAGAAGGTATGATTGAATACACTTCAAGCTCTTGTTGACTGAAGAGCCTATAATGAGGGTAAAATGTTCAACCCGGGAAGTCTCCATTTTTACCAAATGACCACGTGCCCTGAAGTCTGCGTGACTTCCCTGCAGATCTCTGAGCTTATCCGAAGCGTCACTTTAAAGGCCGTCCTCACCGCCAGACGTCGTGCTGTGGCTTTGGTTGGCTCCTGCTTTCTCTTACGTTGTACTGCACCTGTTTCCTCCGGCCTGGACCCAGCCCTCTGGCCGGGTTCTTCAAAAGACGAGTAACAAGTGACAGGGCTTCTGTTCAAGGATATAAGGCCCAATTCATTCGCTCTGCGTCTTCACGGACGGAGGCTTCAGATACATCTGAAGTCATGTGCAAAATGTTTTCCCTTTTGACCGTGTTTAGTGATATTCAGGCAACTGATTTTACACAAGCCAGGGTTCCCCGTTACCTTACAATGGATGAGTCCCCAAAATAACTAAAGACCTCGGGTCGTGTCCTCCAAAAGCCCCCCCGCATTTGGAAAGGCGGATGTAACTTGAACCCGGGAATATGTTTTCCTGCAATGACAGTAGCATCGCAGAAGACACGCTGGGTCCCTTTTCTCTGATCAGCCTAAATAGTGATCAAACTGAGAAAGATTCGATTCTCGAGTTCCTTCAGCTCTCGGGGCTCTTGAGCTTTCTCTGCTCCCAGTGCAGTATGTCCTGGCAGGGAAAATGTGGGAGAGGCCAGGACGACCCGCACGCCTTGTGCTTTGTGTCTGACAGTCAGTGCTGTCTCCTCCAACGTCGGGAAGCCTGGGGACCTCGCTCTCGGCTGACCAGAGCCGCCCAGCATAAACCGCGTGGACTGCGTCCACTGTGCCTCTGTCCGTCCCGTCCTGCGGGGAGGAGCAGCCAGAGTGTGGTGGTGGTGTTTTTGCGGTGGTCTCTCTGTTTTTGATGCCCCCCCCCCCGCCCATCTCCTCCTTGTGACCACCTGTGATTCTTTAAACAGATCTCGTCCCAGTGTCTTGTCATCCGAGCCTGCCCAGTGGACAATGAGGTGGAAGGCTGGGGACGCTGGTTCTTGGCCCTGAACCGTCCCACCTGGCTGTGCTTCAGCCCTTTGGACCCTCAGATAGCACCAGAGCCACTGCTTTGCTTTGGCTTTGTCTAGAGGACCCAAATTGCTGAATCGTGACCCGATGAGAGTTTTCCGTTATTTTGGCCATCTCGGTCACAAAGTCAGCTGCTGCAGAGTGGATCTGATGCATCTGTGATAAATTGACATGAAGGAGGAAGAAATGCTGGCTGAACCCAGCACTGGCCAGCTCCCCCCGCCCCCCCCCAAGGCAGAGACCAGGCCTGGGCTGTGCAGCCCCCGTCCCGCCAGCCCCTCGTGGCACAGCCGGAGTGAGCCCCTTCACCTCCTGCCTCCTCCTCCTGTCTCTTCCTGTGGTCCTTGGTCCTTTGATGAATAATCTGTGTGTCTTTGGGGGAGGGAGGGCATATCGTTAAGATAATAAGCCCCCAGCTGTCTTCTGTCTCTTCCAAGAAGTAAGTAAATATTTTGTTTTGCTTAGTGGTCAGGAGTGGAGATTATTATTTGTTTGAAACGGATAGCGAAGAGGAGGAGGAGGAGGAGCTGAAGAGAGAAGAGGAGGAGCCTCCCAGAAGGTCCGCTTTCCAGGTAACCGCGGCGACGCGGAGATCACGGCCTTTCCCCCGGAGTGTGCTTCTTTCCAACAGACGCGGTTGCTGGCCTGGGCGCCTTCTGCCCGGCTCGGCTCATGTGTTGTGTCTCCCGGAGGCTTGTCAGTCCCTTCGGAGACCGCGCGTCCCCCGGGCCTGTCCCCGCTTGCTCTCACGTTGCCGTCGCGGCCGGAGGACTTCCTGCAGGAGGGTGTCCAGCCCGGACCACATTCACGCACGTCACCGGGTGTTCTGATGCTCTAAACAAACACAGGGCTTCCTCGGGGGGCCTCTGTTTTGCTTTGGGCTGCTTGAGTGGACTAGGGTTCCATCTGCGAGGCAGACGACCATGAAAGTAAAATACTTGCTTTTGTTTAGAAAACCAGTGGTCGCTAGATGTCGCCTCCGACTTTGCAGATCAGTTGTCTGTATTTGCTAAAGATTTAAGACGTGGTTAGAAGTCGTGAAAACATCCAGCACCGTTCTGAGACTCTCGGCGTAACTGCCTCTTTTTCAGAACCTGCTCTGTGTCGTTCTCAGTGACAGAGCCCAGCAGCCCAGTGTCCCGTGTGCCCGGAGGCTGGACCGTCAGTGCTTGTGCAAGCGCTGATTCGTCAGCAGAGTTACACGTGGGGAACACCTGATGTGGATCCCTTTTACAAAGGGACACATAGGGGACTGTCACGTCCCATTAGTGACTGCACAGGGCACACGGCGGGACATCCGCCAAGACACGTGATGTGTGTATGGAAAGGCCGTTGTCAGTGTGCTGGCCGGGTCTGCTCCAGCCGGGGGGAGCCACCCTCCCCTGTCTTCCCAGTGAGGCCGGAGGGCCAGGTTGCCCCCGGGGACACCTTGCTCTGACGCTTGTCCCCGGCCCCGTGTCTGTCTCTGCGTCTGTGTGCACGTGTGCAGCTGGCTTGTCGAACACTAATGACTAAACTTGTTTATTTTGATTCCAATGGGTTTTCTTCTAATCATCCCTCATCACGCAGCCAAGGAGAGGCCGGTGCCGCCTGGACCGTTTTTTACAGGTTGCGTGAACGACGGACAGCTTTCTTCACTCTCCGCCGACGAGCAGAGCCGTTTTATTCCAGGTTCACCAGCAGCCATTTTAACCTGGTCGCTGATGACTGTAGACAAACTCATAGTGACATCAGTGTATTAAATGATCCGTTTCTGGTTTTCTTCAACTAATGACTCTTGCTTTGTCCTTCTTTGTAGAGAGCTATTGGGAAGTTTGCGTCAGCCATTTTAGCCTTGCCCAAGTCTGTCATTAAACTTCCCAAAACTATTCTGCAGTACTTAATCAGAGCTGCAAAGGTATTTGCTGTTTTACTGATTGGCGTGTGGCCCTCCGCTCCGTAGACTAGACAAGCAGAGCCCTGTTCCCGCCATCTGCCTTTTCCCTGTTCTATAGATCGGACGATGAGAGAACGACACAAATTTAAAATATTAGGCGGACTTTTCCAAAAACTCTTTCAAGAAGCCAAATTTCTTATTCTCGCTGGTTCTCGCTTTCCAGTTGACATCAGAGCCTGTCGAAAAATAGAGAGAGAAAACGCAGATGCACGTCTCATTTCTGTCCGTGTCGTGGCCACACCTCCCGTTACAGGGGTCACATCTGGTTGCATGTGTCAGAGGTGACGTGTCAGCGACGGTCATTTTTCTCAGAAAGCTGGTAACAGTCCAGATCCGCAAGAGGAGACTCATTTTGCTCCACCCCCTTCTGTCTTCCTCTCAAAGCCCCGTTTTCCTCAGTTGGCTCTCAGCTGGCATTTTCCGTCCCGAGCTCAGCCCCTCCCCACTGGGCTTAGCTGCCGAGGACGGTCTCGCCACACCGCGGTGACGGTGCTGGGCACACTGCCAGAGAACGTTAGGTGACTGACCCAGCGCCCGCCAGAAGGGGCCCGCTCCCTGTGCCGGGCCAGGGCGCTGGTGGACGTCATGAAGGAGGCGTTCCTGACCTTGCACTGGAGAGAAAGCCGCTTCTCCTGACCCTGAAGCAGGCACTTGGACTGACACTGAGCCCCAGTGCTGAGCAGGCTTGGAGGGTGACGGAGACCAGAGCTTCTCACGTTTACCTGTAGATCCGACTTAAATGCAGGTTCTTTGAATTCAGTGCTTCTGGCGGGACCTGAACCCCTCTCTTTTCTCCCAGGCTCCCGGGGGCTGTGTGAGTGCTGGTCTGCCTCGAGCAGCGGGGGCTAGACCTCCGGGCTCCTTCCCTTTTCTAAATGCCAGGGTCTGGCTTTCAGTTTGATGTTCACTGCGGCCCCTCCCGGGGTTTCTTCTCCTTCCCCTCTCAGACTTCCATCTGAGTCTAGTTAACAGTTTATAGCAAAGAATTTTTTCTTTCATATTTAAGAGTTTATATCAAAGATTACAATGTGATTACCCCCGTCTTACTTAAAAAAAATCTTCTCACCAGCAATATAAAGAACCTTCTTGATCACAGCAGAATTAAAGGACATTTTTGGAAACTTAACCAATTTCAGTTAAGGATCTCCACTTCAGTTCTCTCCTGTTGTAAAAATTAAATACTTTTTGCATAATAAGTTTTCAGTCACATGAATCCGTTTCCCCAAACATTTAAGATAAAATCACTCAGGATAGAATCTCAGATAAAGCTGGGGACGCTCGCTCGGGGCAGCAGCAGTGGGAGAAGCCAGAAGTCATTTCTGCACATTTTTGTGTCTTTTTCTACTTGGCGTCAGTGGTGCACGTGTCTTAATTCCCCAGAGAAACCCATGAGACTGGGTGATAGTTACCACTTCGACGTAAGAATTGAGACGTTTCAGAAAGAAAGTTAGTAAGAATTAGGATCTTCATAATTCATCCACCTTCATTACCAGCCTTTTCCCAAAACAGCTGGACTGACCCTCTGCCAGATGTTCCTGGACCTGTAGAAACAGTCCTGTTTCCGACATCGAAGGGGAGATCGTTTACCTACAAACGAGGACCCGTCACGAGACTCCCGCCTCCCGGGTGCCCCCTTACTGGCCTGCCATAAGCGCTCATCTCAGTGCGAAGGCGGCAAGGGTGTCGGTCACTTAAGGACCACGTGGAGAACCAGGGATTCCCTCTCAACAGGACTGCGTGTCAGGGCCCTGCCCTTCCTGTAAGACCCCTTCAGTTCTGCCCAAGCCGCCCACCCCCGCTTTCTCCTCACCCTCCTCCCTCCCACAGAGCAAAAGGCTTGTGCACCTAATACGTTCACAGATCTGAGCTCCTTTCTTGCTGTCTATCTTTGGCATCATTGCGTTATCAAACAGCAATACCATGATAAAGCTTCTTTAGGTAAATGTCACCATACGTTGCTCTTAAGCCTGAAAACATCTTGTGTTTAGCAGCTCAGATTTTTTTCTTAAAGAATCAGTATTTTGCTGAAGCAAGTTGGCTTATTAATGTACCAAACCCTAGAGAATGTCTTCATAGAATTCACGGTTAACGTGCTCATTAACCATCAAATATAAAATGCCTTTTTTTTTAGTGTTTCTCCTTTAAATCCCAATTCATCTTCTCACTTTTCAAAATATCTGTTTGGCATAAGATAGAATAACGTTCTGCCTCCTGGGTTTATTATTCGGAAATTATACAGACCGTATATCCGTGTTCATTGCCTGTAAGAATCAGATTTCTGCCTGAGGGAAAAGGAGCACTTTCTCTCCTGGTGACCCCTGCGCTTTGCATTTCCCACGTACGGAGACGTTGACCTCTCTTTACTTTACTGACGTCACAGTGCCAGTGGCTTCCTTACACAGTGTTTTTCCAAGATTTCAGAAATCTGAAAATAACACAGAATACAATGAAAGTGTCTGGGTTTATAAGTGCCCCCCACGAAACATTTTCAACTTTACCTTCATAATAGAAAACCCAGCTTCCCTGAGGCCAGGCGTGTCTGCGGGTGCATGGGGAGCATGCCTGCTCGGCTTCATGTTGTGGCTGCGGTCTGTGTGTCAGGGTTTTTCCTTCTGTTCCTTCTGCATGACCTGGGAGACTGTGGTGGGCGGGCTGTTCGAATCGCTCTGCCATGGTGGTGATGGGTGATGGTACGTTAATGCAGCTGTTTTCAACTCTGAACGAAAATGACAGAAGGCAACCGAAAGCACCACCGCCTTGCTTCCGTGCCGTTCTGGGATAACCCCTTAACCGGGGCGTCACATAATTTTTCCTCTCCAAATGCTAATCAGTCTACAAAGCCCTTTCTCAAGTTGCTGGCAACAGCTGTCATTCACAAGAGCATCAAACGTGCCAAGCTATCCTCCCAAAGTAAAAGAACAAAAGACGTTTTGCGGTTGACGTAAAGTTCATTTGTGCGGGGAGAAGACTGCTCTGATGACGCTGAGCGAGGCTTCAGCTTGTTCCATCGCGTGTGACGCAAGAGAATCGGGAACTGGGCATCACAGGTGGAGGGCTTGGGGGAGGCGGCGGCGTGTGTGCGCCCAGAGCATCTTGTGATTGTCCGACGCCAAATGAAATATACGCCGACAACATCTCTTTCTCGTTTTACTTCATGACAAGGGAAATGGCACGGGTCAGCTCAGCATGACGAGGGGTATGGGAAAGGGAGGTTAAGTATATGTTGGGAGGAAAGAAATATTTCTGAAAGTCAGGAAGTTTGGTGTTGGTCCCTTTTCTTTTAATTCAACTTACAGAGAAGCCAGACAGTAATGAAGCTTTCTCCCTGCAGTTTGTGTATCAAGCCTGGATTACCGACCCTAAGACAGCGCTGCGGCAAAGGCGCAGAGAGAAGAAAAGGCCTGCGAGGGCGGAGCCGCGGGGCCGGAGGAGCGGGGCCGCGGAGGGTGAGTGTGTGCGGGCGCCCCCGCTTCTGTGGCCTCGAACACACGAGGGGAGCTTTGCAGGAAGGAGGTTCTCAGCTTCTAGAGTGCGAGAGTTCTACGGGTCCCTCCTTACCTGGGTCTGACACTCCGAATAAATTAGACATGAATTTAAGTTAAGGCACACTTTATACAATGGGAAGAGGCAAGCAAAATGGACCCAAGGAAAGTGGGAGGAAAAGGCCATTTTTAGGTGGATTTCAAGTTGTAGGAAAGAAATATGAGCAGAAAGGACAGGATCGCGATGTGAAAGCTGTTCCTGGGAAAACCTAACGAGCAAGGTGAACTTTGGAAGTTGATCAAGAACTTGAACCCCAAAGGGAGCATAACTGCCGTGCCATTTTCAGCATTATGCCGACTCATTTGAAAACATATGACAGGAACACATTTCTAAGGGGGGGGAAATTCCAAATTACAGCAAAACGCACCAAAATCAAGGTCAAGATGAACTGGGGCACCAGGGAAAATACTTACATTGTATTCATCAGACTGCAGGTTAGTGGTCTGGGTATATTAAGAAATTCTAAAAATCAGTCAAAAGAAAATTCAACCCAGTGAATGAACAGATACGAAAGACAGTCCAGTATCAGAAAGCAGAAATGGCCAGAAGGGGCTTGGTCTCACTAGCATCATGAGAAACACCAAATACCTTGGTCTGCTGTTTTTGTCACCAGTCGGGCTGGCAAGAACCTAAACACTTGAGAACATCACTGTCTGGAGAAGTGGGGGTGTCTGCATGCAGGTGTCCGAGCCCATCCGACTGTAGCCTGCGTCTCCCACTCAGGTCAGCCCCACCTCCGGGCGCGCGGCTCACCTCGAGTCGGTATGTGCACGTGAGCACAAACACACGTGTCTAAGAGTCTTCACCAAACGTTATTCATTACTGACACAAGTCCAGGGACATCCTGAATGCTCACTTAAAGACGAGCCAAGGAAATCACGTGACCAGCGTCTTGAGGAATTCTCATTAGTTGTTTAAGAAATGAGATGGGTTACTTTGAACTGACTCATTATGTTGCAGACCGGCATCCACAGTGTGAAACCATTTATGAAACAAAGGACACTAAAGTGCCTCAAGACAGTATTTTGCATTTTTAATGGGTGCATATAATCGTGTATCAGTGCAAGAGGAAGTCCAGGAGAATACTGAGCAAATTAATTAGAGTGCTGGCTTCTGGCAGAGGGGTGGAGAGACTGAGCTTAAGTGGTGTGTCTGAAGGGGGCCCCGGGCTGGTTACAGTTGGCTCTTTATGAGAGGCTGTCCAGGTCGAGTGCCTGTGAGATCAGAAATGGATTCAAAACAGGACAGAAAAGGGAAGCACCACTTCTGAGGAGCGCTGACTGCCAAACCTTCCTCTCTTTTGACCGCTCTGCTCCCTGCTCCCTCCTGGTAGCTTTCATCTCATTTTACTTTATTGGGTTAAAAAGGCAAAGTTAAGGCACAGCCAGTGTAAGAAGCCAGGCAGGAAGGAGGGGGTGTGCACTCTGGCGCGGAAACTGGCCCTCAGGCCCCAGATCCCTGCCCTCCTCTCCCGTAGCGAATAGACCTGTGCTCGGGCGCCCTTTCCCTGGTTTGCTTTTCAGAAATAAGTTCATGCCGCACAGACTGCTCCTGTGCGTTCATTAGTGATGCGTCATGAACATTTCTCTAATTAAGTATTTATAAAACTGTATCATCCTTTTTTAATAGCTGCAGCAATATTTTGCAGCATGGATATGCATAATTTATCCGACTGTTCCATCACTAATGGACATAAGGTTTGCTTCCGGACTCCTGCCGCGGTGAGCAGCGTATCACAGACACCCTCGCACAGAAATTCCTGTATAGTCGGACGTGGGTGTGTGTTTAAAGGCGTAGCAAAAAGTCAGGGAGAACACACACTTTCCGCAAAAGAGATTATTAAGAGTAGGATTTCTGGACTTAAGTGTGTGCTTTTTTTTTCTTTAATAAACAGTCTCCCAAAAGATTTTAGAAACATGCCCTCACACGCGGAATGTACGAGAGGGCTGGCTCCCCCGTGGTTCCCCCAGGGCATCGCTGCTCTTTACTGTGTGTCTTTCTCAAGGATGGCAGGTGGCTTTCATTTGCATTTTCCTAAACAATGAGACTGAACGTTTTTTATTAAATAGTTTCTTGCTGTCTTTTACTTTCAAATCTAAGGTTTAAGCTCTTCTATCATAATTTCCTAATACCGGTCTGCTGGGCTCTTTGTCCTTATTAATTTAGAGAATGTTCACACGTTAGGGATCATTCACTTTTCTTACGTGTTACACGTATCTGTTTTTCAACCCGATACTTATCTGTTGATTTAGTTTATGGTGTATGTTTTCTAAATAATATTTCATTTTTTCTGATGTGACATAGGTCTAAAGTTTTTTGCAGTTCCTGTGTTTCATCTTGCCTAAGAAAGTCTTCCCCCCAAATTTTATGCAAATATTTCCTGGTAACTTTATTTACATTTTGAATTTTTTATTATTCTGTGAAGTAGAGACCCGTTATGCTAAACCTGTTTGTTAAATGTCTCCCTTTTTCTATTTCTATTATTTATCTTAAATTCAGATTTACCCGGGTGTCCTGTATTTTCATTTGCTAGATCTGACAACCTGAGCGTTAAATAAGAGGGCGAGAAGTGTAAACTCTGTGATGTTATTTTAGGAGGTGACACACTAAAACTTATAGCATTATCCCATGATTTCCAAAATGAAAACTTGATGATGCGTAACAGGAGTCAGCACGCTTTTCCTGGAAAGGGTCAGGTAGTAAATATTGCCAGCTTTGCAGACCGTGGGTCCCTGTGGCCACTCAGCTCCGCCACCGTAGGATGAGGTCCGCTGGGACCGCAGGTACACGGTGGGCGTGTCTGCGTTCCAGTACGGTGTGCGTTTTATGTAACTTTCCAGTGCACACAATATTATTCTTTTTAGACCTCTTTCAGTTACTAAAAATAGAAAACCGTTAAGCCCCCACCGGCAGGTGGACCACAGAAGGCCGGGAGGGCTGGCCGGAGGTCTGCAGGTTTCCCACCCCGGTTGCAGGATTCTGATTCTGAACGGAAGAGAGTCTGACAGCTAAGAACGCTTGCGACTTCTCCCCAGGAGCTCTTCCAAATCGGGAGAGTGCCCCAGATTTAACTATAAAACTCCTTTTAGTCCAGAAAAGGGGGGTTGGTGTTAATGACCCTCAGAGGCCGTGACTCACGCGCAGGGGATGCTCTTGGCAGGTCCCGTGCAGTGGGAAGACCGAGAGGAGGAGCCGGTCAAGAAGAAGTCCGATGGGCCAGGTAACTAAAGACGCTCGGGGAGGGAGGCTGGGACGCATCCCCTTCTCTGGGCGGTTTGTGACGGGAGGCTGCCTGGAAACGGAGAGTAAGTCCCGTTTTCATGCTGTGGCTCAAGAACCAGCATCCCCTGAAATCTCATCTCAAGTGCAGGTGCGAGGTGACTCGTAAACGCAGGCCTGACCTTTACATCCAAGGGTTAGAGTCGGTTTGTGAATTCTTTCATCCCAGTACCTGTGAAAGGAGGCGGGGGGTCGTCCCAGAGAAGCCATCAGAACAGAGGCAACAAAAACTCCTGGCCATTAACTTAAAGAACATGGAACCAGAGTGAAATGAGAGGTGCCATTAGGGAAGAGAGTGGTCCTCCTCATTTTAGGGAGAAAAACCAAACCTCAGCGAGTCTGCTTGGGACCCCACGCGGTCAGGGACAGAATCCATGTCCCCTGACCCCCTGCCCAGTCACAGGGTCCTCTGAGGTTCACAGAGTCTGCGATTGGGAGGAAGATTTAGCCACTGGGAAAAAAAGGGGGGAAATAAAATCCTCAAAATGCTGTGAACCCAGATGCCTCTCGTCCCACAAACACGGCTCTTCCTCCCTCCGAGAGCAGGGGCTTCAGTCGGCCTCACTTACCAGCAGGCAAGAGTTTCTGGCTCCTCTGCTCTGGACACAGGTGCATCCGAGGACGCCACCTGCTGGCACAGAACGAGGCTTCCCGAAGCCCTCGGAGCCCCGGTTGGCACCACGTTTCCCGAGTGTGGCCCCCACCCGTGGGGGCCGGTGCTCCACGGCTGCTGCGAAGCTGTGTACGATGGCTGGGGCTCACGTCTTCTTTGCTCTTCCGTGACCTTCACACGAATTAACTTGCTTAACCCCCTCAAAACCCTCTTCCCCATTTAACTGATAAGAAACCGAGGCAGAGAAAACTTAGCTGACGTTTCCAAACCTGCGCAGCCTCGAGGGGTGGGGCCCAAGGAGTCCAAGTCTAGTCTGCGCTCGGAGCTCCTGCTCCCTCCCCTGGCCGGCTCTCTGGTTAAAAAATAAATGAGAATAACAACCCCGATTTCCCCTGTTAGTCTGTGACCACCCACGTTGACCAGATGCGTGCCACGTGCTCCCATGTCGTCAGGAACACCCACAGCAAAACGGTGGAATAATTAGGTTTGTCACCACAGCGTCTAAGGAAATAATGAGTATGAGAAAAAAAATAAGTGTCCTTCGGCCCCCAGGGGCAAGCTGGCCCGTGCTGTCCGTGGGCCCACAGCGCGGGAAAGGGCGCGAAGCCAGCTGCGTGGGGGTCTCAGGGCGCCTGTGGCGGGGGAAGGGCTGATCCCGCAGGCAGAGCTTCGCAGTTGGCACAGCTTGGTGTGGTCAGAAACTGAAGAGGAAGATCACTCAGCGGCTTCGCTGTGCTCTTAGCGTGTGGACTGGCCTCTTTAGCTGAGATCCCGCTGCAGTGGGCAAGCATCAGAGTCTTCCAGATCCAACAGGACTGTTTCCCAAGACAGTTATTACTTAAAAGAAGGAGCATGGAGGAAAAGCGTGGAAGGACCCAGCTGCCTGGATGGATGCGGGCATTTCTGTCCCCGTGTCACTTCTGAGTGCAGGCTGTACTTCAGTCAAGCCTGTGTCTGCGTAGAGACCGGTTCTGCCTGATGTTGTGACCAGAGGTTAAAAATTCTACCCTGGTTTGGTCTTGAGGGCCCTTCTCTGCCTGGGCAGAAAGCCCTGCTGGCAGCCCCCTAGCCTGCGGCCCCCCCAACCCCCGCCGTCGCCCCCAGGGCCCCGCTCCGCCGGGGACGGGGCCCGGGCAGCGTCGC